GGTCGGTGTTGTCTATGAAGCTTTTCAAGGTAAACTAAAATATTCACAATCAATACGTATGTCACATATGCACTTATAAATAAGCCAATATTGACTATTAAGCCAGTGGGAGAACGGGTTGTTGAGCCACACACTAACTACCCACCTTAACAATGTCATGCATTAGAGACATCTTAAACATGGAGTCCAGTTTGACGTCCTCGTTCTCTAGCAGGTCCTGGAGAGAACCTTTTGGGCAGTACTCGGTGAACACGGCGCAGTACGGCTTGCTGTCCACACACACGCCTATGAACCGTACCAGGTGCTCGTACTGCAGGTCCTTCATCTGTTGGGCCGTGCACCAGGGGGCGTGCACCAGGGTGTCGTGCACCAGGGGGCGTGCACCAGGGGGCGTGCACCAGGGGGCGTGCACCAGGGGGCGTGCACCAGGGTGTCGTGCACCAGGGGGCGTGCACCAGGGGGCGTGCACCAGGGGGCGTGCACCAGGGGGCGTGCACCAGGGGGCGTGCACCAGGGGCGTGCACCAGGGTGTCGTGCACCAGGGTGTCGTGCACCAGGGGCGTGCACCAGGGGGCGTGCACCAGGGGGCGTGCACCAGGGGGCGTGCACCAGGGGGCGTGCACCAGGGGGCGTGCACCAGGGGGCGTGCACCAGGGGGCGTGCACCAGGGTGTCGTGCACCAGGGTGTCGTGCACCAGGGGGCGTGCACCAGGGGGCGTGCACCAGGGGGCGTGCACCAGGGGGCGTGCACCAGGGGGCGTGCACCAGGGGGCGTGCACCAGGGGGCGTGCACCAGGGGGGCGTGCACCAGGGGGCGTGCACCAGGGGGCGTGCACCAGGGGGGCGTGCACCAGGGGGCGTGCAAAAGGGGGCGTGCACCAGGGGGCGTGCACCAGGGTGTCGTGCACCAGGGTGTCGTGCACCAGGGTGTCGTGCACCAGGGTGTCGTGCACCAGGGTGTCGTGCACCAGCGTGTCGTGCACCAGAGTGTCGTGCACGAGGTGTCGTGCACCAGGGGGCGTGCACCAGGGTGTCGTGCACCAGGTGTCGTGCACCAGGGTGTCGTGCACCAGGGTGTCGTGCACCAGGTGTCGTGCACCAGGTGTCGTGCACCAGGGTGTCGTGCACCAGGGTGTCGTGCACCAGGTGTCGTGCACCAGGGTGTCGTGCACCAGGGTGTCGTGCACCAGGGTGTCGTGCACCAGGGTGTCGTGCACCAGGGGGCGTGCACCAGGGGGCGTGCACCAGGGTGTCGTGCACCAGGGTGTCGTGCACCAGGTGTCGTGCACCAGGGTGTCGTGCACCAGGTGTCGTGCACAAGGGTGTCGTGCACCAGGGGGCGTGCACCAGGGTGTCGTGCACCAGGGTGTCGTGCACCAGGTGTCGTGCATCAGGGTGTCGTGCACCAGGGTGTCGTGCACCAGAGTGTCGTGCACCAGGGTGTCGTGCACCAGGGTGTCGTGCACCAGGGGGCGTGCACCAGGTGTGGTGCACCAGGGGGCGTGCACCAGGGTGTCGTGCACCAGGGTGTCGTGCACCAGAGTGTCGTGCACCAGGTGTCGTGCACCAGGGGGCGTGCACCAGGGTGTCGTGCACCAGGGTGTCGTGCACCAGGGTGTCGTGCACCAGGGTGTCGTGCATCAGGGTGTCGTGCACCAGGGTGTCGTGCACCAGGGTGTCGTGCACCAGGGTGTGGTGCACCAGGGGGCGTGCACCAGGGTGTCGTGCACCAGGGTGTCGTGCACCAGGGTGTCGTGCACCAGAGTGTCGTGCACCAGGTGTCGTGCACCAGGGGGCGTGCACCAGGGTGTCGTGCACCAGGGTGTCGTGCACCAGGGTGTCGTGCACCAGGGTGTCGTGCACCAGGGGCGTGCACCAGGGTGTCGTGCACCAGGGGGCGTGCACCAGTGTCGTGCACCAGGGGGCCGTGCACCAGGGTGTTGTGCGCCAGGGTGTCGTGCACCAGGGGGCGTGCACCAGAGTGTCGTGCACCAGGGTGTCGTGCACCAGGGGGGCGTGCACCAGGGTGTCGTGCACCAGGAGGCGTGCACCAGGGTGTCGTGCACCAGGGTGTCGTGCACCAGGGGGCGTTCACCAGGGTGTCGTGCACCAGGGTGTCGTGCACCAGGGTGTCGTGCACCAGGGTGTCGTGCACCAGGGTGTCGTGCACCAGGGGGCGTGCACCAGAGTGTCGTGCACCAGGGGGGCGTGCACCAGGGTGTCGTGCACCAGGGTGTCGTGCACCAGAGGCGTGCACCAGGGTGTCGTGCACCAGGGTGTCGTGCACCAGGGGGCGTTCACCAGGGTGTCGTGCACCAGGGTGTCGTGCACCCAGGTGTCGTGCACCAGGGTGTCGTGCACCAGAGTGTCGAGCACCAGAGTGTCGTGCACGAGGTGTCGTGCACCAGGGGGCGTGTACCAGGGTGTCGTGCACCAGGTGTCGTGCACCAGGGTGTCGTGCACCAGGGTGTCGTGCACCAGGTGTCGTGCACCAGGGTGTCGTGCACCAGGGGGCGTGCACCAGGGTGTCGTGCACCAGGGGGCGTGCACCAGGGGGTCGTGCACCAGGGGGCGTGCACCAGGGTGTCGTGCACCAGGGGGCGTGCACCAGGGGGGGGTGTGCACCAGGGTGTCGTGCACCAGGGGGCGTGCACCAGGGGGTCGTGCACCAGGGGGCGTGCACCAGGGGGCGTGCACCAGGGGGTCGTGCACCAGGGGGCGTGCACCAGGGGGGTCGTGCACCAGAGTGTCGTGCACCAGGGTGTCGTGCACCAGGGTGTCGTGCACCAGGGTGTCGTGCACCAGGGGGCGTGCACCAGGGGGTCGTGCACCAGGGTGTCGTGCACCAGGGTGTCGTGCACCAGGGGTGCGTGCACCAGGGGTGCGTGCACCAGGGGGTCGTGCACCGGGGTGTTGTGCACCAGGGAGTCGTGCACCAGGGTGTCGTGCACCAGGGGGCGTGCACCAGGGTGTCGTGCACCAGGGTGTCGTGCACCAGGTGTCGTGCACCAGGGTGTCGTGCACCAGAGTGTCGTGCACCAGGGTGTCGTGCACCAGGTGTCGTGCACCAGGGTGTCGTGCACCAGGGGGCGTGCACCAGGGTGTCGTGCACCAGGGTGTCGTGCACCAGGGGGCGTGCACCAGTGGGTCGTGCACCAGGAGGCGTGCATCAGGGCGTACCAGGATATGTAGAAAAAGAGATAAATAACAAGTTAATATGTATTCAACATACACATACAATATGTATACACCACTATGTATAATTAACATATAATTCAGAACGTCGATATATCAAGTATATTTCAATTGAAACTGTCGAAATACTTTGTGTATACATGTGTATTATTAGTATAAATTCATGTATGAGTGAATATGTATGTGTATATGCGTGTATGTTATGCGTATATATCATGAGTATGTGCATATCATACATATGTATAAGCCAGTGTGTATATATGTGATTTCTCAAATATACACAATACATTATACAGGGAGAAGTGTGTGTGTGTGTGTGTGTGTGTGTGTGTGTGTGTGTGTGTGTGTGTGTGTGTGTGTGTGTGTGTGTGTACTCACCTAGTTGTACTCACCTAGTTGTGTTTGCGGGGGTTGAGCTCTGGCTCTTTGGTCCCGCCTCTCAACCGTCAATCAACAGGTGTACAGATTCCTGAGCCTATCGGGCTCTGTCATATCTACACTTGAAACTGTGTATGGAGTCAGCCTCCACCACATCACCCCCTAATGCATTCCATTTGTCAACCACTCTGACACTAAAAAAGTTCTTTCTAATATCTCTGTGGCTCATTTGGGCACTCAGTTTCCACCTGTGTCCCCTTGTGCGTGTTCCCCTTGTGTTAAATAGACTGTCTTTATCTACCCTATCAATCCCCTTCAGAATCTTGAATGTGGTGATCATGTCCCCCCTAACTCTTCTGTCTTCCAGCGAAGTGAGGTTTAATTCCCGTAGTCTCTCCTCGTAGCTCATACCTCTCAGCTCGGGTACTAGTCTGGTGGCAAACCTTTGAACCTTTTCCAGTTTAGTCTTATCCTTGACTAGATATGGACTCCATGCTGGGGCTGCATACTCCAGGATTGGCCTGACATATGTGGTATACAAAGTTCTGAATGATTCTTTACACAAGTTTCTGAATGCCGTTCGTATGTTGGCCAGCCTGGCATATGCCGCTGATGTTATCCGCTTGATATGTGCTGCAGGAGACAGGTCTGGCGTGATATCAACCCCAAGTCTTTTTCCTTCTCTGACTCCTGAAGAATTTCCTCTCCCAGATGATACCTTGTATCTGGCCTCCTGCTCCCTACACCTATCTTCATTACATTACATTTGGTTGGGTTAAACTCTAACAACCATTTGTTCGACCATTCCTTCAGCTTGTCTAGGTCTTCTTGAAGCCTCAAACAGTCCTCTTCTGTTTTAATCCTTCTCATAATTTTAGCATCGTCCGCAAACATTGAGAGAAATGAATCGATACCCTCCGGGAGATCATTTACATATATCAGAAACAAGATAGGACCGAGTACAGAGCCCTGTGGGACTCCACTGGTGACTTCACGCCAATCGGAGGTCTCACCCCTCACCGTAACTCTCTGCTTCCTATTGCTTAGATACTCCCTTATCCACTGGAGCACCTTACCAGCTACACCTGCCTGTCTCTCCAGCTTATGTACCAGCCTCTTATGCGGTACTGTGTCAAAGGCTTTCCGACAATCCAAGAAAATGCAGTCCGCCCAGCCCTCTCTTTCTTGCTTAATCTGTGTCACCTGATCGTAGAATTCTATCAAGCCTGTAAGGCAAGATTTACCCTCCCTGAATCCATGTTGGCGATTTGTCACGAAGTCCCTTCTCTCCAGATGTGTTACCAGGTTTTTCTCACGATCTTCTCCATCACCTTGCATGGTATACAAGTCAAGGACACTGGCCTGTAGTTCAGTGCCTCTTGTCTGTCGCCCTTTTGTATATTGGGACCACATTCGCCGTCTTCCATATTTCTGGTAGGTCTCCCGTCTCTAGTGATTTACTATACACTATGGAGAGTGGCAAGCAAAGTGCCTCTGCACACTCTTTCAGTACCCATGGTGAGATCCCATCTGGACCAACCGCCTTTCTAACATCCAGATCCAGCAGGTGTCTCTTGACCTCCTCTCTCGTAATTTCGAACTCCTCCAAGGCCGCCTGGTTTACCTCCCTTTCTCCTAGCACAGTGACCTCACCCTGTTCTATTGTGAAGACCTCCTGGAACCTCTTGTTGAGTTCCTCACACACCTCTCTGTCATTCTCTGTATACCTGTCCTCGCCTGTTCTAAGTTTCAATACCTGTTCTTTCACTGTTGTTTTCCTTCTGATGTGACTGTGGAGTAGCTTTGGTACGGTCTTGGCTTTGTTTGCTATATCATTTTCAAAATTTTCTCCTCTCATTCTTGTTGGCTCTTTGGTATGCTGGCTTAGAAAGTTTCTTGTTGCCACGTCCAGCAGCTTAGCTCTCCATGTTTCTGGTCCTCCATGCGGGTCTCTGTTCTTCCAATCTATCTTCCCATGGTTGAAGTCTCCCATAATTAGTAGTCCAGATCCATTCCTGCTAGTAACAGAAGCTGCTCTTTCTATTATGTTAATGGTGGCCATGTTGTTTCTATCATATTCCTGTCTAGGTCTTCTGTCATCTTCTGTGTGTGTGTGTGTGGTGTTGTGTGTTGTGTGTGTGTGTGTGTGTGTGTGTGTGTGTGTGTGTGTGTGTGTGTGTGTGTGTGTGTGTGTGTGTGTTTGTGTGTGTGTGTGTGTGTGTGTGTGTGTGTGTGTGTGTGTGTGTAGTGTGTGTGCCTGTGTGTAGTGTGTGTGTGTGTGTGTGTGTGTGTGTGTGTGTGTGTGTGTGTGTGTGTGTGTGTGTGTGTGTGTGTGTGTGGTGTGTGTGGTGTGGTGTGTGTGTGGGTGTGGGTGACCTACCCGTTTAAGCTGGATAAGCATGGGCCGTGCCAGATCAACTCTATCCTTGTGAATTCGCTTAATAGCCACCGTAACTCCCTGTGGATGAAAAGAAACATTAAAATGTGTCCTCATACAATGTCCTCTTACTCTGTATGTCCTCATACTCTGTATGTCCTCATACTGTGTCCTCATACTCTGTATGCCCTCATACTGTGTCCTCATACTCTGTATGTCCTCATACTGTGTCCTCATACTCTGTATGTCCTCATACTGTGTCCTCATACTCTGTATGTCCTCATACTGTGTCCTCATACTCTGTATGTCCTCATACTGTGTCCTCATACTCTGTATGCCCTCATACTGTGTCCTCATACTCTGTATGCCCTCATACTGTGTCCTCATACTCTGTATGTCCTCATACTGTGTCCTCATACTGTTGTTAAGGATCTTGAGGAAATTTTTTGAAGTACTGGCTTCGAGGACCTACGGTTGAGTGTGTGTGTGTGTTTGCGTGTGTTTGAGTGTGTGTGTGTGAGTGCCCGTGGTGTCCCCCCTGACGGTTGTCACTCAGTAATGATGAGTGACAGAGGGACCAGGGAGTGGGGAGGGGTAGGGAGGACGGCCCGCATGTCTCCAGCTCTGGCTCAGGATATAGTGACGAGGCAGCCACGTTCCCTCGCCTAGTTGGTTAGTAGTTTGTACTGTGTATCCTGCGCTCTGTGGGGCTCTGGGGGGGTCTGTGGGGGCTCTGTGGGGCTCTGTGGGGCTCTGGGGGGGTCTTGGGGGCTCTGTGGGTCTCTGGAGGAAGGTCGGGGGCTCTGGGGGGCTCTGGGGGGGTCTTGGGGGGCTGTGTGGGGCTCTGTGGGGGTTCTGGGGGGCTCTGGGGGAGGATCGGGGGGCTCTTGGGGGCTCTGGGGGGGTCTTGGGGGGGCTTTGGGGGGCTGTGTGGGGGTCTGGGGGCTCTGGGAGGGCTCTGTGGGCGCTCTGTGGGGCTCTGGGGGAAGGTCGGGGGCTCTGGGGGGGTCTTGGGGGGCTGTGTGGGGCTGTGGGGGGTCTGGGGGCTCTGGGTGGGCTCTGTGGGGGCTCTGTGGGGCTCTGTGGGGTCTTGGGGGCTGTGTGGGGTCTGGGGGCTCTGAGAGGGCTCTGTGGGGGCTCTGGGGGGCTCTGGGGGAGGGTCGGGGGCTCTGTTGGGCTCTGGGGGGCTCTGTGGGGCTCTGTGGGGGTCTTGGGGGCTCTGTGGGGCTCTATCCTCTGTACGCGCGCGCGCGTCCACACTCACGCACGCAACCTCCACTCTAAATAGATTATGAGAGCTTGGCCCTCAGACACACGCCTGGGGTTCCCGGTTCGAGCCCCACAGACCACCACAGAACCCCACAGACCCCCACAGAGCCCCACAGAGTCTCCCAAAGCCTCCCAGAGCCCCCCCAGAGCCCCAGAGCCCCAACAGAACCCCCCAGAGCCTCCCAGAGCCCCTCAGATCCACCACAGAGCCCCACAGAGATCCCACAGAGCCTTCCAGAGCCTTCCAGAGCCCCCCAGAGCCCCAAAAAGCCCCCCAGAGCCTCCCAGAGCCCCACAGGGCCCCCCAGAGCCTCCCAGAGCCCCACAGAGCCTCCCAGAGCCTCCCAGAGCCCCACAGAGCCCCCCAGAGCCTCCCAGAGCCCCACAGAGCCTCCCAGAGCCTCCCAGAGCCCCTCAAAGCCTCCCAGAGCCTCCCAGAGCCCCTCAGAGCCTCCCAGAGCCTCCCAGAGCCCCACAGAGCCTCCCAGAGCCCCACAGAGCCTCCCAGAGCCCCACGGAGCCTCCCAGAGCCTCCCAGAGCCCCTCAGAGCCTCCCAGAGCCCCTCAGAGCCTCCCAGAGCCTTCCAGAGCCTCCCAGAGCCTCCCAGAGCCCCTCAAAGCCTCCCAGAGCCTCCCAGAGCCCCACAGAGCCCCCCAGAGCCCCCAGAGCCTCCCAGAGCCTCCCAGAGCCCCACAGAGCCTCCCAGAGCCCCACAGAGCCCCCCAGAGCCCCACAGAGCCCCAGAGCCCACCCAGAGCCCCCCAGAGTTCCTCAGAGCCTCACAGAGCCCCAGAGCCCACCCAGAGCCCCCCAGAGTTCCCCAGAGCCCCACAGAGCCCCAGAGCCCCCCGGAGCCACACAGAGCCCCAACAGAACCCCCCCAGAGCCCCCAAAGCCTCACAGAGCCC